AAATTACCACAAAACAATACCAGAAGTAAATACTTATAATAGAAGCATAAGATTAATATTTTTAACTAAGGTATATTATTAGTAAGTAAACAATATCTCGGATGGACGATCGAAATAAAAAAATTGCGTAATATTATAACAAATAAAGAGATAAAATTTGTATTGGATTAAAACTTAACGTAATGGTTCAAGGTGAAAATCGATGATGTCAGACTGTTGACCTGTAAGCCAAAATTAATCACGGATTGTGAAAATCATTTTTACATTTTTGTCCATTCACAAATACACATATCTTTAAATTCAATATATATATATATATATATATATATATATATATATATATATATATATATATATGATATCCGAATTGAAAATTATAATCCACTTTAGAAGTAAAACATAAAAAAATAATTATGTTCAGATTGTAGAAATTATGTAAACTAACAATAATCTGTTTATAATCTTAAATGATAATATTGTTATTATTATTTTCAATAGGTTCTATATACATAAAATTTAAACTACATCTTGTTATGTATTCATACTCAATAGACGAACACAATTAAAAGGTTATCATACCGAATAATACGAAAATTCCCAGTCTCTTCCTCTCCCTTCCTTTAAATCATTCTCTCTCACTCTCGGTCTTTCTCTCATTCATATTTTGGACAATATTTTGTCTCAGAGATCCTAGTGTTTGTTATCTTCCGTACGGTTTTTTTCTAAGTTTCTTGAAATGGTAGTTTAATTTTTCCTTGTTGTTAAATATGTGTATTTGGAGGAATTTCTCTATGCTAAACTTCTCTCTCTCACTCTCTCTCTCTCTCTTTCTTTTTTCTTTCTCGCTCTCTTTCTCTCTATCTCTCTCTATCGATTTATCTATCTTACCTATCTATCGATCTCTCTTAACATAATTGAAAACTTTAAATAATGTATACATATTATTTTGTAAATGCAGGATGTATGTTAATTTAAAAACTGTCAAGAAACTCATACAAGCACAATAATATTGTTGTTAATTGTTCATCATCAATACTTTTATAGATGTTTTGAATGTATAATCTTCAATCTGAGCATATTTTCAAACTTTAATCTGAATTATTCGTTAAAATGAATATTTAATTAGTTGACATGAAGTTAACGGATTAACCGATGTTGAATCACACTAAGTAGGACCAAGACAGCAAATTGCGACACTTGGTGTATTTTATTTTAATCTGGACCAAAGGAAGTATAGCACTTTATCCCCCTTCCTTTAAGGAATTCTCTCCAGAACAACTTGAAACTTTATTAACCTTAATGGAAAGACGGAGTGTTCTCTTTTTAAAGAAAATTCGGTCAAATGGGATGAAAGTGGCCGCCTTTCTTTCTCCACAGTCTGTTAATGAAGTAAAGAAGATCAAAGTCCTCGATAATAGCATGCATTGACTTGGCTCCTTCAACGGAAAAACGCCTCAAATTACTTGTCGCTTTAACTTCAGGCCGGGCAGCCAATAAATAGAATGCTAACTCGGCATCATTAATTGACTGATTTAACCTAAACCTAAGGCGGTTAAAACTTCTCATGTTCTAAAATCTATGACATATCCTCCAGTGAGCAACTATGAGATAATTATAACGATTGTCTAAGTATTAAACTAAAGATTATATATCTAAAAATGAATTATATTAATAGTCTAAATATTATATTTTTCCGTAAGACCTCTCCGAACCTATGGATGCAATATTATAAAATTAAATTCCACGCAAAAAATAGTGGCACATTTACTAAAACACAAGTTTTGTTCGTGGGTGAGCGATTAGTAACACAGGGTACCATATGAAGTGTGGAAAGACGCGGGAAGGTGCATGACCGACTGAACTACGGGCATATTGCAAATCAACCCAGGGGAGCCCACTTAATGTGGAACTATGGTGACAATGGGTGGAACAGGGTGTACAAGGGGGGGGTACAGCCTGAAAAGGCGAGCCTCGTGTCCTCGTTCACTTCCTTTTCTCAATCCAGGTCCTTCGGCATATTTCCTTGAGACCTCTCCCAACGCTGCGGATGCTTTATCAGAAGCACAGGAGGGTTAGAGGAACCAGATCCTGTCTCCAAAGACGGGGGAGGGTGCATAACCATCTGTACTTTGGGGTGGTTAGAGATGGTTAGGGCCTTATGAGGCCTTATGAGAATCAAAAAATCCGATAAGGCCGAATAGGCTAAGTGCGGACGTTAAAGATCCTCATTGTCCTTTTTAGGACGATCGAGTATAAGGGAAGCAATGTACTTCGGGGTAGCAGAAATGTTCCAAAGTCCAACCTCTGCTATTGTACATGGGAACGGACTCGTATAAGCTTAGTGGCGATGCTCCTGACGCGAACTGAGAGAAGAGGCTGTTCTTCTATCTGTAACTTCCGCCCAAGCACTTGGGTATGACCTTCGTTGCAACCATGGAAGCGTATAGTTCATCAGGACTTCGCGGACGGAGTCCCTCGAATGCGTGAGAAGTGGGGGATGGGAACGGATAGTGGTCGGTGGTGCCTTTATGGGCGTCCTTTACCGAAGGCAGTTTTCTGTGAGGGGTAGTTAGCAATTTCACTGTAAACAAAACCGCGGCCGGAGCGGATCCGGAAATTCTTACGGCTGTAACACACATTCAGTCGTGAGCGGAGGTGCGTCATCTCTCATCTTGAGAATCAAAACGTCCGGCAAGGCCACGAGCCCGGTATGAACTCTAAGGATCCTCATTGTATTTTTAAGGACGACCGAGTATTTGGGCATATTGCAAAGTTCCATTCACATTAGTGCGACAAATGGGTAAAGGACTCGTCGGGGTGAGACCCCTGGCAGGTACTTTGAGTGAGCATGTTGGCTCAATAGTGCTGTTCAATCAGCTTCCTTTGTCGAAGGAAGAGTTCTTCTGTGGGGTGGCTAGCAATTCTACTTGAAACAAAACCGTGGCCGGAACGTTATCCGGAGGCCGCTATCGGGGCCCATCCACCCTGGGGAGACAGAGTTGCCTTCTCCGAGTAGGGTAGCATAGCTGGAATACCGGATAGACGGAAGTCAGTCCTTTGGCTTCATTTGCTATGCGGCACACGGTTGGGTGAACAATGTCGACCCTCTCCACGGAGGGGCAAGTGGGGAGGAAATTCGTCTTCTACACCGAACTTGCGAGTCTAACATACATCGTAAGCAGAAGTGTGTCGTCTCTCATCTTGAGAAACAAAACATCCGATAAGGCTACAAGCTAGATACGGACGAAAAAGATCCTCATGTCCGTTTCAGGGCTACGAGTAAATATGGAAAGAATGCCTACATATTATATCGTGGAAAGATGTAAGGCAATTTCAAATTAATTACAAAAACTGTTGATTATACATATTAATAACGTGTCAATATTGAATGCATAATAAATAATGATTTATTGTGCTCATAGTCATTACTCTTCCTACCCTCCTACCACGACTTTAAAGGATCTATTGTGAAAAGTAAAAAACTATATTAAAACCAAGGAATGTGAACTGTCTTTTAGAAATTAGAGACTACTTCTCTGTCATTACGTGAATTTTTTTACAATACTATATTCATTTCAAGTGTAAATTTCTTCCTTATCCTGAGTTAAATCACAGTTACACAAAACACATTCCGTTTATTATATCTATCTCCGCTAAAGACGAGTTTGCCTTCATTTTGACGAATTGTAATCAGGCGGTCATTTGACATATTTTAATCAAGACAAAAGAACATAGTTGATCCCTGGGATAATATAATCTTCAATATTTACATTTTATATGACTATATAAACTTGTTATATTTTGAGTGATATGAGTTAAAGCGTTTTTCTGTCCGTTTTGGACAGTAAATTGTTCGGTTTTTCTACAAAAAGGAGGCTAAATTTGGATGGAAGTATCTAATGAATCTTAGTCGAAGAGAAAAAGGTGAATATATTCTATCTCAGCAGGAAAAAATATACAGTTTAATTTTTATATTTTCTATGACCATCTAAACTTGTTATATTTTGAGTGATGTGAATTAAAGATTTTTTTCCACCCCTATTGAACTGAAATTTTGCGTAATTACTTATTAAAAATAAGGTCTTTCATCAATCAAAAATTTTGTTTTCGAAATGAAAAAAATAAATTTGTCACATTATTTAAAATAGTTGTGATTATTTTATCCTTTCAGACGAGGTATCCATCCTGCATGAGATTTTCTCACATGCAACATATTTTTTGATTTGTTTAATAGAAATTCTGATACAATTGTGTGTTGGCTCTGCTAATTTATCAACTATTTTCCTATCCGTCCTACTGTTCTACAGTGTTTTACTAATTTGATAATACATTCAGAATTATGTAGATTTTGTAAATAATTGAATATTTCTAAACTAAAAAACTTGTAATTCTTACAAGTCAATAATTTAATATTACAATTACATTGCACATACATCTTAATATTAAATTAGGGCCATGTCGTGTACAAAATTATACCATTATAAAAGGTGTTTTGTAATTAAATTGCCTATAATTGCAATCATGCAAAATAAATTATTTAATTTTTCATCATTAACATATACAATATTAAATTTATTTATTCATGCTAAAAACATTTTCGATACAGTTATTTATTAATCATTACCTATTTATTATCAAATTATACAATTTATAATATCCTTCGCAATAATATTATTTGTTTTTATTACGCTAACATTGCTTTTGTAATTGGGTTTGTTTTTTTGTGTTTGTTGATATTTTTTGTTTGGATGAGTAATTTTTATTATCATGTCAAATTATTCCATAAATACATTTAGCATTCAATTCATATTTAAATAATTTAGAAAGTAAAAGGCTTTTCGTAATCAAAATTAAAACGATTAGCCAATTAAATAGTTCAATTTGTCAATTTTCTACAATTGAGCTGAGATTTTGCAAATCGTCGTTGTGGCAACATATCAATCACATGCATTACAGTCTGTTAAATGTATCTTCGAACCCTACGAAATTGTGCTGAATACCTGGTATTAACACGCAAATCCTTCGTCCTTTGCGATCCAATCCTGGCAGGTTCCCGAAGTGATTCTGCTCGTAGACCTCGGGGTTTCTAGAAGGGTAGAGGAACTTGTACATATCCGGATAACGCGCTTTAAACTCGTAGAAATTCTTCAACTAAAACAAACAACAAAATAGAACATTAAAAATTGAGGAACTTGCGTCTCGGAAAATTTTTAAACACCTCATGCTAGACATTTTCCACCAACTGCGACCTTTGAACTTTGTGTTATCGACGCTTGTCCCTGTGACCCCGCGCGATCCGAAAACTGCACCATTGAGCATGCTCGTCCAAAGGCCGGAAGGTCCAAAACGGACACCAAGTACGTAACACATGTGGGCCGATTTGCGTCATTATTTCCTCCCAAAATAAGCGACAACGTGTCTAATTTAACCTCATCTATCACTTTCAGAAACTGAATTACTGGTTTTTCTTAAACGTCAATACTTGGGAGTGACGACCAAATAATGCTTTATTAGAAACAAGGCCAATGCTGGTATGACCAGAATGTGTTTTTGTTTCTGATCTCGTCGAAAGGGTTGACCTTTCATCAAGAAGCAGGATTTACAAGTGCTAACAATGTCTAACAGGTGCGATAATAATTTCAAAAAAATTGCTAAGTCCAAAACAAAACATTAAACGAATAACAAAGCAAAATTACAATGATCAAACCAATAAAGATAATTGTTAGGACACAATTCTACTATATAATTTAATTTAAAACGTACTTTGTACTATATTCTGTACTGTACTGTATATTCTATTTTATATTTGTTTTGTTCGGCTTTTTAAAATATGTGAAGACATACAGTTTCACAATTGCATACGTAATTTAACCATTATAAGAGAAAAGAAGTTCATGTAATACTGTACAAAAATGTTTAAAAAATACTAAATAAAACATAAATACTAAAAAGTTGGTTTTCGTTGGAGATGAATTATTTTACGATCCTCGCCCTATTTTTTGCACAAAGCCTTAAAAACATTTTCAAGCGTTTTAAACAATCTAGAGGGTATTAATTGTTTACACGTTTATACGTTTAAGTCATTAGAATATTGGAAGTCACATTATGATAAAATTATAACAAGAAGCATGAAATAATAGGGGTATTCACAATCTTTGTGTTAACCCTGTTAACTCTGTTAGGTGTTAGATCGAAAAAAAAAAATGCTGACGTAGATTGGTTAAAATCGGCGGGTTAGACGAGAGCCAATGTTAGGTGTTAGATCCATTAGAGTTCGTGGTCTAATTGAATTATCATTTTTCAATTAATTAATATTTATGGAAGGTATTGGTTGAGATAAACATTTCATTCCAGTATTTAACATTAAATACTTACGTAGTTAATAAATCAGAGAGTCCATTCCTAATAAGGTGTTGAAAGCAAATATTTCATTGACACATTTCACATAGAAAAATGAAATGGGACAGAACGAAATCAATAGTTACGTAAAACTCTAGCCAATTTTAATCCAATAATTTGAACATAAATGATTAATGAATTAATTGGTAGATTGAGGTTGTTTTACCATGCACAATTTGGATATGTTGGTTTTACTTTTTGATAGCTGGACAAGGATATCGGGTTAAGCATGTAGATTTCTATTTTTTTTGTCAAAAATGGGGGTAAGTATCTAGTAAGTAGATTTTGAGGTGGAGTCTGAAATAATATCTACCAAAATTCGAATTCACTTGAAGATCGATTGGTTGGCTTTGTGGAAACAGAAAACGGTTTGACCACCCGTATCTCGAGCTGTTTGGAAGTAATGCTCAAAAGACATCTCCAAACTTCGAAGGTGTTCACATAGGCTCCATTTTGTTTTTAATCAATTAACACAGGAAAGCTTTGTCTCTTCCTTCAACGGATTAAACACAACACTGGATATTTATTTTTAAGGCATTAGGGGTATTCGCGATCTTTGTGTTAACCCTGTTAGATCGTGTTAAAGCGAAAAAATGATGAACTTTTAAGAATCGGCTAGTTAACATTGCTCTATCTAACAGGAAAGGGCCAATGTTAGATGTTAGGTCGAAAATGTAGTGACATTGCTATCCGTTAGGGCGTAAGTAACCAACATGGCAGCCAATAATTTATCAGCTGTTTTTTGTTTACACGTATTGTTGTTCTTAAATATGCATTAATTAAATCAGACCAATACATTTCTTTTGTTAATTTCTGACCTGTCCTTATACTCTCATTCATACATCCCCTATCCTATAAAGTTGTAGGCTGTTAGACGTTTGGAATCAAATTAGGTATGTTGGCACGAATTGAAGCGTGTCATTTGTTAGCACTTTTCGAGTGCATAGATAGCATTTAGAATGAAGGAGTTAATCAATTTTCCTATTATATTAAATTCTGACATCTTACAATTTAACACAAAAGAAAACCAAATCAATCAACAACAAACCTTCAAGGACTCATAGCTATATTTTTGGTTCTACCTATCGCCACGCACAGCATTGCGGAAAAATTAACGTTTAGTATGCTAAGAAAAGAAGGGGGCGTTCACGATCTTACTAGACATTTCTCTGTTCGAGTTAACATCTTACAAAAATCGCGAATACCCCTAACCGTTAGGTAGGGTAGCTTCAATAAATGCTTCCTTCACCACCGATCCATCTTCGAATGGTTTCTTGTGTTTCGCCAATATATGAGATATTTTAAATGACGCGATCGTAGCAGCTTTTGATTGTTTGGCTGGTCTTGTGAACATGGATTGTTCTTTTTTCAAACAAGATATCAAATCACTTACTTTTCGTTTTCTTAATTCACTCTGTGGCGGAAAATCCTTTTCATAGTTTTTATGAACCGTTTTATGATGCCTCTCTAAGTTACCACGCTTAGGTATTGCAACTGACGCACGACAAATAACACAAATGCACTTATCCTTCACCATACAAAAGAAAAATTCTTCCTCCCAATCCTTATTAAAATGATACGTTTTAGATTTCACTGCACTAATTTTCCACTATTTAATAATAAACTTTGTATCGACGTAGTATCGCCATCAAGTTACAATTCAGAATGACTCCAATTCCTGCAGGCACAACATTTATATCGGCGTGAACGAAAGTCTCGAATGTTCCCGTCAAACGCGCCGCCCGAAACTAGACTGTACTGTCTCTCGTAGTCTAGAAACAACGCGGTTTTTCTTTGACAAGTGCCGCGCGTTCCTTTGATAAAGCCACCTTTTGCCGCAAGCAGTGTTATTTTATTACGTAATACATTTTTGTAGTTTAATTACCTACCTACTTATGAAAAAATTTTTTCTTCTCGAGATCTACTCAAAAAGCACTCGCGATCGACTGGTCGATCGCGATCGACCGTTTGAGCACCCCTGCCCTAACGTATACGAAATATGTTAACTATCCGGTACAATTTAAAAATCACAAACAAGTGGTTACGGTGTTGCTGCTGGGTGTTGGTCTGCTAGTCGGTGAACTCATGCTGAACCGACATTGGGCCACTTATCGGTCCGTTTGAGGAGTTCAACAACCCCGCGATTGAAGACGGACCCAATGCAGTTTCAGCATAAATTGTTGCATTCAACGGAGTTATAAAATAACCAGCATTTGGATTAAGAAAATATTATGCTTCGTATAACCGTTTTATTGAAGTTATTTCGAGTTATTCGAGTTTATACGTTCATTTTAATCACAACGTAATCTCCTTTCTTGTACTGATAGAGAACTAATAGAAAGTATAAGTTATGATTTCTGACGTTAATAAGAAGCAGAAAAACAATTTTAATCTTTCTAACTCGTGTTTTTTTTTAATATACTAATTTATTATGGAATTAATCCAAAAATGCTTTGAAGTCAAGAATCTGCTTTACGAGAAATTACAGTAAAGCAATAGCTAGTACAGTACAAAGATTAAACCTAAAGTTTCTATCATTTTATAAATTCATTTTCCCATCTTAAATTATTTGTTTAATTTAAGCAATTAATTAAGGTTTTTAGTTGAGATAAAAAAGTGAATGGCACGAGCGGGATTCGAACCGACGATCTTCGGCTTGATACGCCGCTACTCCCATCTCAACCACACCTTTTGAATTTTCCCTCCTTTTTGCCATTTTTCAAATGTCGTATAATCGGATTGGATTCTCGGCGACAAATGAAATAGCCACGGAGAGCTTTAGTGAGGTACACTTCATTTTAATTCATTCAATTCACTAATTTCGTGGTCCGCTTGACCAATTAATGTATTACAATTAATTAAGGTTTTTAGTGGAGATAAAAAAGTCAATGGCACGAGCGGGATTCGAACCCACGATCTTCGGCTTGATACGCCGCTGCTCTACCACTATCGCTACCCACTATCGTGACCTCGATCCACTGAGACACTAACTTCCCATCTCAACCCCACCTATTGAGTTTTCCCTCCTTTTTTCCATTTTTCAACTGTCGTGTAATCGGATTGGATTCTCGGCGACAAATGAAATGGCCACGGAGAGCTTTAGTGAAGTGTACTTCATTTTAAATAATTAAATTCACTAATTTCGTAGGACGCTTGACCAATTAATATATTACAATTATTAAAGTTTTTAGTTGAGATAAAAAAGTGAGTGGCACGAGCGGGATTCGAACCACGATCTTCGGCTTGATACGCCGCTACTCTACCACTTGAGCTATCGTGACTTCGACTTGAAAAAAGGCAAAAAGGAGGGAAAATTCAAAAGGTGGGGTTGAGATGGGAAGTTAGTGCCCGACAGGATCGAAGTCACGATAGCACAAGTGGTAGAGGAGCGGCGTATCAAGCCGAAGATCGTGGGTTCAAATCCTGCTCGTGCCATTCACTATTTTATCTCAACAAAAAACCTCAATTAATTGTAATATATTAATTGATCAAGGGGACTACGAAATTAGTGAATTTAAGCAATGTTTATAAATCCATCTCAATAAAGATCGAAACGTTGTCACGATAAGAAAATGTTTTTCTAAGCCTACATCACACCAGACCGCATCTCACGATCTTTAAATAATAATAAGCAATAGCGTTATTACTGTTTATATCTGAACATTTCATCCAATTGATCAATGGATAGACATGTACGTTTATAGCAGAGCAGTTTTCATTATATAAGTAATTATAAAATTAGCAATTACATT